ATAAAAGCATATCAGACTCAGCAAACTTGAAATTTGTTTAAATATAAACATCTTTATTTCCTAAGAAAAACAAATTTTTATAAAGTTTCCTTTGGCTAAATAGTAGCAAAGCCCTGTTTTTGTAGTCGTACTTCAACATTGCAAATGTGGACATCTGGAGTATACCATTAGCAATCCACTGGTGGCCATTTAAACGACTGTGCTGGATCATTTGGAAATATAAATTTGACAAGCACATCTTTTTCTTCTGGATTAATGTCTATCAATGACTCCTATCCACCACTTTTGCTCATAGGAAACAGACATAATCACCTGGTATTAAGTTTAAAGTTGTTTCATGGATGCTTCCAAAGTCATGAATGAATTCAAAATCTTCATTAACACTGCATAGCTTTGTGCCTATCTAGACAAAATAACAACATATGCATTTATTTCATTTTTACTTATTTTGTTAAACATTTTTTATTAAAGTCATTAAAAGAAAAGTCCAAAATAAAACAAAAATATTTTTGAAGACGATTCCAGACAAATAAAAAATCTATTCGAGTTTATTGATAAAAATAATGCATATTTTTTAAAGATAATAAAAGGTATATTCAATATATATTTTTTTACCTTTTAAGGCCAAGTGGTACAAACTAATGGTAACTACGTGTTCAGGCATGGTATTTTCATTATCCAATCATTCCTTAAAAGTTTTTCCTCAAACCAAAGTTAAATCTTTTAATGAGATAAAAGTGTTTTAAAAGTGTTTCTCAAACCAAAGTTGAATGTTCTGATAAAAAATAAATGAAATGTACACCTTCAATGTTTTCATTGCAATATTTGAACATTGCTTGTGGAGATAAAATATGATTACCCATATCTCTTTGCAAACTTGCTAGTGTTGCTAAACGCTTGACTTTACCACCTATCCTATCACAGGGTTGCTTACCAAGACTATTTGCAAAAAAATTCTATTTAGCAGAAAGACCAAAATCTTCAAGATGGAAACAAAGATTCAAAATATTTTTGCAACTCTTATATTGACCAGCACACCCATCTGAAAAGTATTGAATATTTTTTATTTGAGGTAGATTTGTTTTAATATCATTGTTGATAACATCAACAATTTTATACACCATGTTTACATCATGCATCATATCATCTGAAGCAATAAAATAATATCTGTGCTTGAGAAAACCTTTTTTGAAATAAAAAATCACAAGATGAAGTGTAAAAGTGTCAAATGAAAGCTTTGTACTTTGTCCTAAACTACAAATTTATAGTTTTCTGAAAAAACACCAGAAATAATGCTGTTACCTCATTCATATTTTCTTTCTTGATCTCAGGTATGATGCTTGACTATTAGCTAAATACAAGTGTAGTGCAAGTTTTGTCAGTTTTTGACATACTCGTTCAATGTATTCCGACACTAGCTCTTTATTATGTGTTGAGTTTGACATATCTGTTGTTGTCTACTGATCAAATTCTACTTTCACTGTCATTTTCAGTTTTACAACCAATGCATTCATTGTTGCTGGGCATCTTTCACATTTCAGCATCATACAATCTTTATTAGTCATGTCACATACACTATAAGGTAACAGTGCTTTGTATGTCACACCAAGAGGATGTAAAAGGAGTTTTAAATTCTGATGAGTAGCACAGACGCATACTGAAGTGTTCCTGAAGCACCAGCAGTAATACACCATTTTGGTTGCAATGTACAAAACATTAAAAACCCTATTTTTATTTCTGGGTTCATAGATTTTAAAGGCATAAATCAATTTCTTTAAATTACATAAAAGCAAACATTTTTGCATGTGAACATTTTTCTTTATGCTTACATATTCTTTTAACCAGGTATTGTATGGCTATATTCATCATCTTCATAAAAAAACTTGACCAGTTGAACAGATACATCAGGAAGAGCTTTTCCTAATTTAGGATTAAGCATGGCTAAAATACCTTTTTCTAATGCTAACTTACAGTTTGAGCTACATAGTTTGTTACATACAATGTTACAAAGTCTTCATAATTTTTATTTTCACTTATACCTTTTAATAAACCTTTCATAACTTTACTAAGACAGGTTGGATACAACTTTTCTCCAGCTATAAGATTTAAACCTATGGTTTTTGCTTCTAGCATGTATGCATTGTAATCACAAACAGAGAAGCTAAAAAGAAAATGTGACTATATTACTTAAATACTATAACATTAATTATACTATTATTCTAAATCAATGACCAATTCCTATTACAAAAAACTTATAAACAACTTATTAGGAATGGTATTACCCATTAAAATGTAAGTATATTAACTTTTACCTCTACACACTCTTTTGTGAATCATTAATAATCAACTTTTCTGATTACTCTCATATTTCGCTATTAACATATCATGATGGTGTGTGCATATACTAGTAATTTGTTCTTCTTTCAAATTTGTTTGTTTTAAAAGATTATAACTAATTATATCTCTAGTTAGTTATTTAACTTAACAAGGTGACATTTATTGGTTATTATTAAGTACATTTGTCATTTTATTACTTATTTTATTGATGAGATAGTCACTAACGGGTCACAACTAAAATTTTGCCCAAACTTTGGGATAATGTCAATAAAGATCTGCTTTGTGTATATTTTTAAAATTCTAACAGAATATACTCAAAAGCATTCTCTATTCAAATATATTTTTAAATAGTTCGTATGATTTGTAGTTCAAAAAATATCATGCTATAATGTATGAAGATCTAAAATCCATTTTGTATAAATACTATCAAAAAAACCATGGACTGGGGCGAAAACATATTTTTGATAAATTTATCAGCATGGGAGCTCCAAAAAGGACTTTAAATCATTGGCTTAGCATGCTGGAACAAAATAAATTACTAACTAGGAAAAAAGGAAGCGGTCCTCCGACCACTATAGCGACTGCATACAACATACGTAAGATGAAAAATTTCTTCAATCATCGGAAGGGCTGCTCACAGAAAAGAGTAGCTAGCAAGCTAAAAACGACTCAGCAATACGTTTTAAAGATGCTATTGCAAAGAACAAATATCAGATGTCTAAAACGCACCGTCAAACCAAAGATGACAGCCTTACAAGTCAAGTTAGCAAGGCCAAAGTGTGGACGACTTTTCCTCAAATTTCGTGATGTCGATTTTATTTTGGATGATGAATCGTACTTCACTCTTTCCAACACAACTTTGGCTGGGAATGACCGATTTTACTCAGGTGATATTCAAAAGACTCCTACTCATGTGAAGAACAAAATGAAGGCAAAATATGAGTCAAAACTACTTGTTTGGGTGGCAGTTTCACCTCGAGGAATGAGTAGTGTCAAATTTTTCAAGTCTGGCCTGGCAATCAATATATTTACCGTGACGAGTGTATACGAAAGAGGTTGATTCCTTTTTATTAACAAATACTATAGGGATGGTAAATACGTATTCTGGCCCGATTTAGCTAGCTCCCACTATGCAAACTCAGTCCACGCCGACCTCAGAGACAAAAAAGTCAATTTTGTACAAAAACAAGACAACCCAGCAAACATCCCGAAAGTCAGGCCAATTGAGGATTTTTGGGGATTTTTGAAGCAGAAAGTGTATGAGAAGGACTGGCGGGCTAAAACTATCACTCAACTCAAAGCTAGAGTCAGTCTTTGCCTTTGTAATTTGGACAAAGACCTTATACACCGCACCTTCAGCTCGGTACACAAAAGACTCGATTTTGTCAGAAGGAATGGAATCGAAAAACTTTAAAAGACATTTTTTCTAATACTTAAAATTGTTGTTTATAAAATGCAAAAAACCGTTTTAAAAAAAATTGTAAAATGACTGAGATATCTTGTTTTAAAAGTTGGGCAAAATTTTAGTTGTGACCCGTTATTTCATTACAATAAAACAATCATTAATAAAAAGATTACATAGTATTGTTTAATTTAATGACATGACTATTATGTAATATAAATAACAATGCAAATGACATAACTGTTATGTAATGAAAATAACAAGTAACAAATTGACAAAATATTAAATAATATTTTGAGATAACTTTGTAAAAATTTAAATCACATGACACACATACTGTTTGTTTTTTTAATTTTCTGACTCAAAATTAGATTAAAACAAATAAAATTGTATTTCATTCAATGTGAAAATTAATAAACTAACTTTTTTTTTTAATTTCTTCAGAAAATTGGAAAACGAAAATATCAATAATTCTTTAGCAAAACATAAGGCCAAAACAAAATTGGTTTGTACAGTAGAATCTAATCTTTTATAAAATTAAAACCAAATATTTTTTCTATCAGTCAGATTTTTTCTGGAGCTAAAGTTGTCAATGCTCTTTTTTATTGTGATTAGTTAGTGCCTTTTGTAGATCTTAAAATAAACTATATTTTGTTCTTTTGAGAGATACAAATCTCTAATTTTCAGATTAAGCAGGTTTTAGACCCCTTTGGTACCAAGTTCCAGCTTTGCAAAATTACTACAAGTGCCTTATAATGGCAATAGTAAACGGACACATTTCTGGCACTTTTTCCCCTCATTTTTCAGTCAAAATTTAACAAACTTTAAATTGCTGTAATTCTTCAAGGGAGAAAAACTTTAATTAACCTTTCCTAACTTACATCATTACACACTTGTGCCAAACTTCAGCGAATATGGTGATGTAGGGTGCAATCCCTTGTTTTTTGGAAAATTTTTACTCTTATGTCAGTACTTTTGAATTCTCTCCTAATTTTTCCTAAAACTTATAATTTACACTTTTTTAAGTCTTTAGTAAATAATTTTCTTAGTCTATAACTGTATTCTTTAATTTCTGATAACTTCCATATTAAACAGTGTATTGCTTGCAGCCATGTTGGCATCTCCAACAAGACTGCAAGCAACTACAGTTTAATATGGAAGTTTAAGTTAAACAGTAATTTACAATTACTGTTTAACTTGTATAAAACAAAGAAACCAACAAAAAAATAAAAACAAACACACACACACACAAAAAAAAAACCTGTAATATTGTATAGTTCTTAAATCTCTTGTGCGCTGAACTTTTTCTTCTTTTTGAAGCTATGAATTATAAATTATGAAACCATGAATTATAAAGCCATTAGAAAGCTCATTATAAAATTTCAAAAACTACTGAAAATAAAAAAAGGCTTAAAATTTTGTACCACAAACATAGATGGTGTGTCCTCACCACCTTTAATTTCTCTTACAGCCTTCATTCTGTCCATCTTCCTGAAAAATAGCAATATATATATATATATATATATATATATATATATATATATATATATATATATATATATATATATATATATATATATATATATATATATATATATATATATATATATATATATATATAGCATGAGAGAATTTTAAAAACAAAAATACATATCTTGTTAAATTAGGTGCAAATATATAAAAAGTAGGTTTTAAACCAACATTCTGACCAGTAGTTCTGACCACTCTAGACACTCCCCCAAGGCTCGTTTTTGTAAAAAAAAATTTTTTTTCAAAAGTTGCTGATTTCAGTGATGTTGAGAGAGGGTCTAATATAAACCAATTTGGCTGAATTAAAAAAAAAGGGCCTACACTAAATATATTTTGCATTTAAAATCCTATGTATATTTGTTTTTGTTTTATTACCAAGCATTTATTATTCAAATTATTCATAAATTCGCAAAATTTATGACTTTTATTGTGATATTAAGAAAGTATTTGGAGAGTACAAATACATTTTTTCTTATGTAATAAAAATGTTTTTTGGTTAAAAATATTTTACATTTACTTTAACTAGTTACTTATTTGAAGGTAAGTTTCCTTGACATTATTCTATTCCCCTCCAGCTGCCATTTCCCAAAATAAAACAAATAGCAAATCATTACACGTCATGTTCTTTTACTAAAATTTCATATGAAATTATTTTTAAACAAAAAACAATTAATATGAAATCACTACATTGATTTAAAATTTACGTATTTGACTTTGAATTTTTAAATTCAAAATAAAAATTTAAGTAACTGAACGTATTGATATATACGTTCAGTTACTTAAATTTTTATTTTGAATTTTAAAATTCAAAATAAAAATTTAAGTAACTGAACGTATTGATATTAGCAGTATTGATTAGAAGTATTGATTAGCAGTATTGATTAGAAGTATTGAATTAGAAGTATTGATTAGCAGTATTGATTAGAAGTATTGATATTAGCAGGCTTGGTCGGGAAACGGGAGCGATCGCTCTCGATTGCTGACCATGTAAATAATATTTAGTTGCGAAAAGCTGGCCAGATTTTTTAGCCGTTTTGAGAACATTTTAAAAAGGCAAAAAAAAAAAAGCGACAAAGATTCGTTGGACCGATGAGAGACAATTACAAAAAAATAAATAAAAAAAAATTGGCAAACAAAATATCTTTAAACGCGAAAAAACTTAAAGCTAAATAAATTACATTTAGAACAAATATCGCTCTTTTACAACATTTTTATAAAATTAAGCGATGTTTTTTATATATAGTAACATCTTACGATTGTTTAAAAGGAAAACAAATATTCTTTATTTAACTTTGCAAGTTTTATTTAAGTTTGCAAGTTTTAGTTTTACTTAAGCTAAATTATTTTATAAATAAAAAAGTTAATTTTTTTAATACCTATTTTATGTTTCGCGTAGTTTGAAAAGTTTAACATATTTGAAGCGATTCTTTTTAGTAAGATAAACAAATGAAATAATTAAATCATTGAATAACTATAGGAATTAAATTATCAAGATAGAAATCAACTAAAAAGGTTAAAAATGAATGACCAGGAAGCGAAACTGCTTCACAATATCGCTGATGATGTTTAGTGAGTGGGCTTTTTAATTTTAATTAGTATTTAAAGCAGAAAAAAGTATAACGAGTTTTAAGAATGGCAACTTAAGCAAAAATAATTAGAGTTAGTAAACCGATATCTAGAAATTTTTATTTGTATCTAATTATTTGCTATATATATTTGTGTTCTGTTGTGACCTCAGGCGCGATGCTTGTTCATCCGCGAGTTACTTTGTATGCGTTGTTTGTGTTTAGTAACCAGAAACTTCTTATATGTTTGTTACATAATTAGTTTTATTAACTTTAACGATTATAACTTCATTGAAAACGCAATTATTTTTGTAAGTCTTTGTTTAAATCATGAAAATTGCTTTAAAAGACACATTACGATAAAAAACAAATACACAAAATTACATTTACAAAAAGAATACAATCTCTTTTAAAATAAAAAATAATTTATGAATGATTTATAATAAACTTTTAAAATTTTAACAATTTAATTAATATATATTTAAAACATTTATTTTCGTAAACAAATAATATGTATTCTTAAAACAATGCTAGAAATCTCAAAACATAACAAATAGTGAATAATACAATTTCTAAAACATTTTAACAGAATACTCTACAACTTTATTTCGCTTAATCAGCGTATTTTTTGAACCAATAGAATTAGTTTGTTTGTTAATTTGGCGGGTTTTTAGAGTTCGCAAATATTTTTTTTGTTCTTTCGCACTAAGATGTTTTGAGAACATTCAAGTTTTTTATGTTTCCATGTATGTCCGTAAAACAAAAATTTTTTGTTTCGTACATAAACTTAAATGTTCTCAAAACGACTAAAAAACCTGGCCAGTTTTACGCAACTAAATATAATTTTCATGGTCAGTATTCAAGAGCGATTGCTCCCGCTTCCCGACCAAGCCTGTATTAGTTATCAGAAACACAAGATTTTGCGCAATAACAGTTTGAGATCTTCTAAAAAGATTTTTCATATTATCGATAACGCTACACCTACTATTTCAGGTATGTGTTGCATAGAAATAAAAATAATGTACAATTATTGATTCGGATTTTATGATATTTTGTATTTACCTGAAAAGAAGTCATGGTCACTAAAACACATTTTCATCTCAATATCGATACTAATCCATCACACTATAATACTCTGTAAGATAAATAATGCGTGCTTATTTATACTATTTATATAGCATTGGTAATGCTATTTTAATAAAAACCTATATGGTTTAGGAATGCAACTTCCAATGGATATGGATATCTTGCAACACTTTAAATATTGTCAATCAAATTTGCCAAATAGAATTACAAAAAAGTTGGATATTCTATATTGCAGGGATGCAAAGTCCCTGTTTTAAAAAAAAAAGAAGGATGCAATAAATATTTAACAAAAGTAATAACCTAAAAAAAAAAAATTTTTTCTCAAGAGTCTAAAAACTAATTCTTTTCCTGCATAAAATGCAGTAGAAACAGTTGCAGAGAGAGTGACAGAGTTCAGATTAAATTTGGCTAATTATGTTTTTATTTGGTCACTAATGGAGAATCAGAGAATCAATAATGAATAAATTTGGAAAAATTGTTCCTGCTGAACATTAAATTTACTGCACTCATGCAGTTCATCTGGCTATTTAGGAAGTTTGTACAAGAATAATATTATATATATATATATATATATATATATATATATATATATATATATATATATATATATATATATATATATATATATATATATATATATATATATATATATATATATATATATATATATATATATATATATATATATATAGGGCTCGAATTAAGCTGATTGCTTTTTATAATTTCGCGATTAGTTTTTCTAAAACTTATATTTCCGCGATGAGTTTACTTTTTTAGTTGTTTATTTACTTTTTTTCTAATTTAGCTTTTTTTTTTGGCAATTCTTAAAAAGTAATCTTTTCATAGTAAAGTATGTCACACAAAGTTTGTCTTTTGAATGGAAGCATGATCATTTGCTCTTTCGCGCGGAGATTTTTATTCAACGCTAAGCACTTTTTAATTTAAATTACTTTAAATCTCTGCGTAGTAGCAAATTAAAAAGACAAAAGTTAAAAAGAAATTTTTCTTCATTCTATTGTTTTTTTCTAAACAGCATTTTTATTAGAATTCACTTATTCAAATAATTTTATGATTGAAATTTGAAATTTAATTTAAAAAAAAATTTGATGAAACAAGGCAGAATGAAGATAAAAGTTTTTTTTTTTTTGCAAATCGTAAAATTTATTAGCGTTTTGAATTATATATTTTTTCTTGAAAATAGTTTTAAAAGTAAAAACATTCTATTGCAAACATCAACGCAGCAATTGCAAATTTCAAGTTAAAATAAAAATTATAAAAACTTTAAATTAAATTTAATAAATTATTTTACTTCTGTTCGAAAAATTTTTTTTCTAAGAAAATAATTTAAGCATATTCTTATACTTAATATAATTCGATTTATTAAACAAAATTTTTTGTTTCACTTTTTTTTTGAAAACAATTAGAATAAAAAAAAATTGAATGAAAACATCAGTTTAAAAACCTTTTGAATGAAAAATTAATGATACTTAAATTTATAATAGTACACTCGATTAGGAAACGATAATTTATAAAAGATATCTAATGTTTTTTTGCTTTGATCTTACTCATTTGGTCTATATGTTGTAAACTCGTATAGTTCTATAGGCGCAAATATGAAGTTTTGTTTTAGTTTATTAACTAGCTCAATTTCATTTATTTGCTTCCTATTATTTTAAACGCGTTTTATTTTATAAACCTTATAAATTAAAACAAAACAGCGTCACGAATTTGTTTTACATTATTCCAAGTTCTTTATATTTTTAAAACAACTTTGCAGTTTGTTATATAGCTTTTAACAATTAAATACTTTTTTAAATTAAAACGTCAGCATGAACGTATTAAGTAGTTTTCTCTGACTAATTAAAGTGGTTTAGATATTGTAATGTAGCTTTTTCTCTTACTTTTGTACTTTTACTTTTTTAAGTATCATGTTAAGTAAAAATATACATAAAGAAATATCTTAATAGTATTAAAAACGTTATTGCTTATTACAACTGCAACTTAAACTTTAAGTTATAACTAAAGTTATTAAAAATAACAGTAACTTTTTTATAACTATTTAAACTCTGCCAAACAAGAAAATTATAAGATTATATTTAAATATGATTAATAATATGTTAAATATAGAACAATTATGTACAAAACTTACAATCATATACTAAGGTAACTTTAATCCCCCCCCCCCCCATTACCGCAGGTATAGGGGAAGAAGCGGGGGGGGGGGGGGGGGGGGGGGAGGGAGGGTAAAGGGTAGGGGGGGGAGTCAAAAATTATTTTTTTTCGCGATTAGGTTTTTTGCGTTAATTCGAGCCCCGATATATATATATATATATATTTATATATATATATATATATATATATATATATATATATATATATATATATATATATATATATATATATATATATATATATATATATAGAACATATTTATATAGACATTTTCAAAAAAAGTTGTTTTTAGTACCACCCTAATATATATATATATATATATATATATATATATATATATATATATATATATATATATATATATATATATTCAGAAATATGTCATGCTGGGTCTCAAAAGAAGCAAAATTATGTAAAATTTTTAAAAATAATCATTATTTTATAAAAAAACATCAAAAAAAAAAAATTACAATCAAAAAATCTTGTGAAGTTTTTTATTTTTTTTTTTTTAGTTAAAAACATCACTTTCTTTTCACTTAAATCTAAAAAATCATATTTTTATGAAATGATGACTACTTTTGAAGTTTTTATATAATGAAGTTTCTTTTGAGATCCAATAAAACATTTTTTTCTTGATAGTATTAGGGACCTGCTTGATGTTTAAGGGTCTTGTGGCACCTCTAAAAATATTTTTTATTAAAAAATTTATAAATACAGTATTATTTTATAATACAGAACACATTTAGGGGGTGTCAACCGACATTTTCAAAAAAAGTTGTTTCTAGCACCACCCTAATATATATTTCTAGCACCACCCTAATATATGTTTCTAGCACCACTCTTATATAATATATATATATATATATATATATATATATATATATATATATATATATATATATATATATATATATATATATATATATATATATCAACAAACTCTCAACTCTTTAACTCCGAAACACGAACCTTAACAAGCAAGGCCGCTGCGCAGAGAAATTAAGTTAAGCGCTGTACTTCCAGGGACATGGTGGGAGTTGAACTCCGAACCTCTCACTTACAAAGCGAGCGCTCTAACCACTACACCACTACCGCTTTGAACTATAAATTAAACTAAAGTGCCACAAAAGGGGAGCATTTTAAAAGTAGTAGACTAGTAACAATTTAAACAATTAGTAGACTTATAACAATTTATCATATGTACCACATTCGGGCACAATGAATAATACAACAATTTTTGTGTACTTAATGACTAACCAACTTAACTGCCAACTCTAAAGTGTTTGAGGTCAGCAAATATCCTCAATTTTCCTAATTCCAAAGGTTGTATATATATATATATATATATATATATATATATATATATATATATATATATATATATATATATATATATATATATATATATATATATATATATATATATATATATATATATATATGTACATATATATATATATATATATATATATATATATATACATATACATACATATACATACATACATACATACATACATACATACATACATACATACATACATACATACATACATACATACATACATACATATATAAAACCAATAGTTTAAGAAAAAATATATAAAATGTATATAGATGAATACTAGTAAAAATGTAAAAAAATGTATATAGATGAATATTACTAATGATTACAATAATAACTAAATACCTTTTTCTAATAACATTTATGTCATTTTTTTTCATTTCAGAAGACTTTCCAATAACATCTTTTCGTGCTACCAAAACAGTAGCTAGTTCTGAGTCACAATCAGACAATAACTTTGCTGCAACTTGGTTTTTCTTAATTTTTGCAAATTTACTTGTCTTATCAGGTTCTATTATGTGATTATTTTGCGCAAAGTTTATGTTGTTAAGTCTCTCTGTGTTGGAACTAGGCAAGCAACCAATGTTAGCAATGCGAAAAAAAAGCTTTGCTGTAAGGAATATTTTTGCATTGCTTTGATTACTGCTTTGCATCAAGTTCCCAGCAATAATTGTGTTATCCTCTGTATACTCGTAGAATAACATATCAAGCTCTTGGGAACACTGAACAGCAGATTTTCCCTGTCTTAAAAGATACTTTAATGGAAATGATGTTGACCCAACAAGTAAAAGAGAATCACCATCCCACATGTCAATGTAAAGACATTGATCATGAAGATACTTCAAGAAGGATACTTGTTCATTGAGCTGCATAAAAGCTGGATCAACCAAATATTTTATCTAAATAATTAGAAATTTAGAGTTGTTTTAAATTAATCAATATATAAAAATCAATTAAAATCATGATTGAAATTCAATTGTTTTATATTTTGGTTTAATCTACTTTCATTAGAATAAATTTTAGACAAATAATGCATTAAAATAATAAATAATGCCAATATCTATATACATATATGTACATAAACACAGCCAGAAAACACAACAAACTCCATCAAGTATTTAATAGTAATTAATTTATACCATTAAGCCAGGTGGAGAATTATCAGATTTATTTCCATCTCTTGCACTTCTTAGTAATATACATGGTGCTAAATCATGAATGCTTTCTTCGCCTCCATATTTTTTAAGGTGCAACCTTAAAAAAGTAAAATAGTATTTTTCAAGAAAGATAAAAAAATATATATATATAAAAAAAGAAATGTACTAATATATGTCTGTATTCCTACATATAAGTATAATATTATACTTACATGCTAATATTTTCCATAAATATTCATTTGAAAACATATTATTTTAAATTAAAATCTGGTCGGTTTTTAAAGTCATAACTCTACATTACAACAGAAATCATACACAAATAATAAATTTAAATCATACACAAATAATAAATTTTTTTTTTGTTAAAATTTTCAAAATAAGTTAATGAGATTAATAAGTATAATTATTTATAATTTTTATAATATTATTATATACTATATAGTTTTATCATATTATCATATATAACTAGTATAATACAAAAATAATATTTATAAAACCAAATTGAAACTTTCCTTGAAAATTTTTTTTGAAGAATTTGAAAGTATTTAAATTTTTAAAAATTCATTGACCAAGATTACTTTTTGAGAAATACACTAACACATAAATTAACATTAATTAGCTTAAAAAAATATTTTCTTAAAAAGACTAACTATATTTAACATATCTTTAACAAAAAAAAATAGATTGGTATTAAACAACCTAGAACAAACTTAAGAAGAAAAAAAAAACATATATATATTAACAAAATGAACTTTCAATTGTTTTGAAATGTTTAAAAAAATAGTAACACTACCTTTCAGTAGTAGTTTGCGGAAACCTATAAAACTGGAATGTAAAAAAAACACTTCGATGATAGCACCTAAATTTAAAAAAAATATAACAAATGAATATATGATATTAGTAAAAATAAAGGCACTAGGATATGATAATAACTAATAAGTAAAAACCTTGAGAGAGCTAAGAACTGAAAAATAATGTCGTTAGCATGCAAACCATCTCTTGTTTCCAGAGAAATATTGTATTTTATAATTTCTTGAGTATCAATTAAAAATGGGGGATTGCCTTGAGTATCAGTTATTTTAGGATAGTCAACTGAGTGTAATATTGAATAATGAACTCTACTTAATGTAGAATGCCTATCAAAAATAAAAAATAATTCGATTAAAACATTAAGGTCACAGCATACAATAATGACTTTTTGATACTATGTTGTTCATGTGTGTAAGTTAAGACAATTCAAATCACAAACCAATGTTTAAGTTATTTTTCAAATCTACCTGGAAGTATTTGAAGTTATAAGTGAGTTGTACATCTGAGATTGAGGTAACATGTTTGACTGTTGCACTTGGTGAGCATTTGTTGTCGTAAAACTTAAAACAAAAAAATAAAAAAATAAAGCAGTAATAAAAAAATAAAAATTAAACATGCATTACAGGTTATTGTTTTGCATACTAAAAACAAAATGTTTTTGTCGCAATGTATAAATGTATTTAGTGAATATTTTTTAAATTTCATGGTAGAAATGTAAAAGTAAAAGAAAAATTTTAATAAACAATAATTATAAACAAAATCTTTCTTTTTGAATGAAAATCAAAATTAATACTTTTAAAGCAACTCACTTTTACAATACTTTCAAAGCTTTCCAGACAACCCGAATCATTTACCTTCTCTACTCAACTTATGTCTTGTTTCTGATCCGAGTCAGTGCTCAGTTTCTCTACACTCACCCTTAGGTGCTTCTGATCATGGTTTGGTCTCTCTAAAACTATTATCTCACTCTTCTTTACCATCAGAATCCCCCTATCATTGTACATCTTACAACTACCTTAAAGCTGACTGGGACTCTTTCTGTGATTTTCTTTGTGATGGCCCCTGGGTAGAAATCTTTCGTCTTCCTGTTGACAAATGTACTTATTACATAACTTCATGGATTCAGGCTGGCATGGAATCCTTTATTCCCTCTCGACGATTCCAGGTCAAGCCTCACTCTTCTCCATGGTTTTCCTCACATTGTGCTGCTGCAATTGCTAATCGAAACCATTACTTCCATATCTATCAGCAAAACAATTCTCCAGAAAACAGACGTCTGTTTATTACTGCTAGGAACCATTGTAAAAAGGTTTTGTCTAATGCCAAAGCCCGCTATTCTTAGATCATGAAATCTCGTATTTCATCACAAAAATTAGGCTCTCGTGACTTCTGGAGAATCTTTAATAGTATCAATAATAAGGGCAAGTCTGTAATTCCACCTCTTTTGTACGGTTCAGACTTTGTCACCTCACCTAAAGACAAAGCTGAATTGTTTGCCAAGACCTTTTCATCAATTTCATCTCTTGATTCCACTAGTTGCGTTCTACTTGATATAGCCATCAAACAGGTTGATCCATTGCTCGACATCTGTATCACTCCAGCTTCTGTATCTAAAGTGATTTGCTGCTTAGACTCTTCTACAGCTTGCGGCCCGGATAACATACCTGTTATAGTCTTGCAGAAGTGTTCTCCGGAGCTGTCATCTATCCTTTCAAAACTATTTAACAAGTGCTTATCAGAGTCTTGTTTTCCAGCCTGCTGGAAAGCAGCATCTGTTATATATTATTTTTAAAAATTCTGGAGAGCGATCTAACTACCTGATTCATCTAACTACCGTCCCATTAGTCTTCTTCCTATCATAAGCAAGGTTTTTGAATCTTTAATTAACAAACACTTAATCTCTTATCTCGAATCTCATAACCTACTTTCTGATCATCAATATGGATTTCAATCTTCTCGCTCTACAGCTGATTTGCTAACAGTAATAACCGATAGGTTTTATCGCGCATTAATAAAGGTGGAGAGGTTAAGGCCATCGCTCTTGACATTTCTAAGGTGTTTGATAAAGTTTGGCATGCTGGTCTTCTCCATAAGCTTTCTTCTTACAGTGTATCTGGAAACATCTTTAAGATTATCAAATCCTTCCTTTCTAATTGTAGTATAAAAGTTGTCCTTGATGGACAGCACTCTTATTCTTATTCTGTAACCTAAGGGGTTCCTCAAGGTTCAATCCTTGGCCCTATACTTTTTTTAATTTACATTAATGGTCTTCCAGATTTTCTCACAACTAAGGTGGCATTGTTCGCTGATGATACTACCATTTATTCTTGTCACGATAAGAAGCTAACTCCCTCTGATTGCTTGCAGGGGGCATCTGAGCTTGAAAAGGATCTCACTTCTGCTACAGCATAGGGCTCACAGTGGCTGGTGAAATTTAATTCAGATAAAACTCAATTTTTTTCAGCCATTCGTTATCGCAATAATTTAGACCTTCCTATATTTATGAACGGTAATGTACTTGATGAGTCTCCTACCCTTCATCTTCTAAGATTAACTCTTACTTCTGATCTTTCTTGGAAACCTTATATCAGATCCGTAGCAAAATTAGCATCTGCTAAAGTCGCTTCTCTTTATCGAGCTCGTCACTTTCTTACTCTGGATTTTATTCTCTATCTCTATAAATCTCAAATCCGGCCTTGTATGGAATACTGTTGCCATATTTGGGGTGGATCTTCTAATTATGCCCTTTCTCTTTTAGACGAGGTGCAAAAACGCATTGTAAACATAGTTGGACCTACTCTTGCAGCCAACCTTCAACCTCTGTCACATCGTCGTAATGTTGGTTCTCTTTCTCTTTTCTACAAATACTATAATGGGCACTGCTCTAAAGAGCTAGTGTCTCTTGTGCCATCTACAAAAATTCATTCTCGTGTTATTTGTCATTCAACAAAGTCTCATCCTTTTTCTGTTACTGTTCTTAAGTGCTCCAAAAATTCGTCTAGTTTTTTTCCTCGAACATCAGTTCTTTGGAATTCGCTTCCTTCATCTTGCTTTCCTGATTCATATAATTTGCAATCTTTTAAGTCGTCTGTCAACTGTTATCTTGCCCTACAATCTTTATCTTTTCTCTTCCAGTAACTTCTAACACTAATTAGTGGTTGCTTGCAGCCTTGTTGAAAGCGAAGATGTTAAAAAAAAAAAAAAAAAGCAAAACAACTTTTAAAGAATGAAATGATTGATTTCATTTCACTCTTTAAAAGTAGTGTTGAAAACCCAAAAAAAAAAAAAAAAGTAAAAGCACAAGTTAGAAATATGGTAGTTATTAACAATTCAACATCATTATAATTCCCCATCACTAAATGTAAATGTTTTATTATAACAAAAAATATTTTTTGTTAAATATTTTTTCTAAACATGCAACATGCTATTTTGGATTTTTTTCAAAACTAAATATAATATAAATTTATAAATAAAACTTTTTTCACTTTACAGTATAAAGTTTTAAAAGTTTGAAGAAAATCTGAGCAATCAACAGCTTTTTTGCTCTCCTAAATAATTTTGAATTTTTTTTTTAAATAAAAAAGCATGCACACACAAAAACAGATTATTTAGACAGAGTAAAAAGCCTTTTAAGTAGTCAACCTTTTGCAGTGTCTGTTTTAAACAGGCAATCTAATCCCCGTAAGTTTGTTTACACTAGGTGAAAATTAACATTAATGAAGCATGACACTTATACTGATACTTTATATTGACTTTATTTAACTTCAATGGCATAAATTTATATCTTATAATTTTAAAAGGTTTGACACTTTTTAGATGGGCGAGGTTTATATGGTGGACTAGTAAAACCAGTCCATGTATGCATACCTCAACCAGTCAATGCATGCATACCTCAACCAGTTAATTATGCATACCTCAACTAGCCAACTAAAAAAAATCTTAAATGGTTAAAAGCGAAGATCAGGTTTAGTACAAGTAAAATAAATAAAATAAAAAAATTAGAAAAATTGAACAAAGTAAAAAGTATAAAATTAAAAATAAAAAAAGAATTTCTTACTCATTTTGTACAAAACTTGATAAAGCTTGTTCTTCATGAACAGAGTCATTGTGGGTAACACTATCTGCAACTGAAAGGTCCTGTGATGCTGGCAATGAGCTGTTTTTTTCTGAAGTAAGAGTACTTCTTCGTGAAGGTATATTATTAGATTTTTTGGCATGAAGCTGAATTAGACTGAATTGGATACTTCCTAGAGACTTCTAATGAGGAAAAAAAATTTGTATGCTTTAAAAAGCAGCAATGGAAAATTTACGATACTATACTTTCTATACAACACTATACTAAATTTACAATACTATACTGCTAGGTATTATTAAAGTGTTTATATTTACTAATTATAAATTAACAATTATTATTTACTAATTATAAATTAACAGCACACATTCACGTACAATTAGACAGAAAATAAATGTTTACTTTGTTTGAAAAAATGTACCTTTAATATGCTTTTACCTGCTTATCAGAAGAAAAATGAAGTTCATTAAAAACTTTTGTGTTAAATGGGTTTGGAGATAAACCTCCTTTCAGATCAATCAAATAATTTTTGTTAGAAATTTTCCCATTTTCAAATGGTACCCAAATTGCTGTTCTCATTGCCACATCCACCTTTTTAGTCAAAAGTTGACCAGTTGTCTGTAATTTAAAAATTAACTATTAATATAAACTGCAATATTAAAAACAAACAAGATAAAATTAAATTATGTGTGCGTTAACAATATATTATAGCACCATAAACTTTTACTAAGCATATTTAATTATATATATATATTATAATAAATAAAAATACAATTAAAAAATAAAAAAAATAAAACTATCAAATTGGTGCCAAACTGGTGTCCTAGAGACCCAACTTTTGCACCAAGTCTGGAGTTCAAACTTTTGAATGGAATCCAGAGTTTCAGAAGTCCACAAAGATTTTGAAATTTATTTAAAATTTTATTAGGTGCCTCAAGAAGGTCAAATGTGCTTTTGAAAACATTCTTGTCAAATGTGCTCTTTGACAAGACTGTTTTCAAGAAAAAACAGCCTTGTCAAAGAGCACAGCAAAAGATCAAAACCAGAAAGTTTACATCTTCTTGTTTATTTATTTCCAATCTTGTTTATTTGGTGAGGTTTGGTATTGGTTTGGAATTGGCTTGCTAATATGCAGATATTATTGAAATCATTTTAAAAGATTAACTTGCCTAAAAAACATTTTTTTAATGTCTTATTTCTAAGACAGAATGACATGTGATATGTCACCCTTCAAAGCTTGTGAAATAAATTTTGAAAGGATTTTTCATCATCATATAAGTGAAGGTTAGACTTTGCATTTTTTTATTTTTCAATTTTTAGGTTTTTTTTATTATAGTAGCAAACATAGTGTAGGTTTCTGAGTGTCAAGTTTTTGTCAAGTGTTTGTTTTAGAATTAAGTACTACATAAAAAAATATTTATCGGCTGACAGAAAATTCTATTAAAAAATATCTTCATTTTATTACTTTCAATAATTTTAATATTTGAAACTGTTAAATACGTGAAACTGTTTCTTAACTAATAAATTAACTACAAGCAAAATAAACTCGACTTAAAATAAGAAAATAAAATATAAACTTATTTTTAGGTTTGCATTATAAAGGTAAAATAACAAGTTAGACAAGTGGTAAATAATGTCCTATTCACAGAAAACCTGTCATCCTAACTAGTTCACAAAAAAAGCTAATAAAAATACTTCATTAAACAAACAAAAATTGTTTGTGCAACAATTTTTTAATGAAGGACTTTAACATAACAATGTAAACATTTTTGGCAAGTGTGACAAGTAACATTAATATGCATTGAAAAAGATGTTAAAATGAAAATGTTTTTGCTCATATCTCAAGCAAGCATTGAGCAACTGTTTTCTGTTTTAAAGTACATGACTCCAGAATTTTTGATAAACTATACATTAGATTTGTTTTTTCATTAAACTTTACAACTTAAAACTTTGTTAATAAGGTTAATGTAAAACTGTAACATAAAACAAATGTACAACTAAAACTTTATATGTTTTGGTCTTATGATTTAAATCAACATTGCAGGGAGTTAGCCAGCTAAATGGCATTGTGTATAACAACAGAACTCCCAAATGTTTTAAAATTCCCAGAATTCAATGACTTTTTTTTCCCCCTAAAGTAATAGGGCAATTCAAATTAAAACTTTCAATATTTTGTAGAGCAATAAATATTTCCAATATTCCAAAAACACAGTAAAAAATATATTCCTGGCTAACACCCTGCATTGGTTTGCAGTCATTTATGATTTTACTGCAATACTAATTATAATGTAAAAGCATTCTTATAAACTTCAAATAAAAATTTTTTTTACAAAATACTTATAAACTTCAAATGAAAATTTTTTCTACAAAAATAAATTAGTATAACATTTTACAGCATAAATATGTTTTTCAAAAGACTTTAAAAAGTTTTTAAAAGATCTAAAACTTATTAAATTAGTGCAAAAAAAACACAATTTTTACTTTTCATTTTGATAAAAAGTTGTCATTAAATAAAATAATTATAAAAACTAATGCAATTGAAAAAGTTAAATTGAAAAAATGCATGGGTGTTTATGCATGGGTGTTTACCAATAAATCTATTCATAAATTATATAATGTCATTTTGCTCCACTGAGAAGCATTTAATGGTTTGTTACATGCAAATCCTGCCACAAAATGAATGTGGGCTCAATAAAATGCTTTTAAAAAAGATATTACTCTAAAATATAAAATTTGCTAGTTTAAAAAATTGCATTAAGAGAATTAATTGAAATGTATGGTTTTCTCAATTTTTTTTCTTTTCAGAGTTCTATAATTTTTATTATTCAGCTACTACGAGACCAACTAACTTGTGCATTTAATATATATAAGAAAATTTAATAGTACCCAATCTCTTCTCTTGGATTTTCTCATTTGTAACAAATCCAGATAACAAAGTCAAACTATTAATTTTTTTAAAAAATCATAAGTCCTGGGTTAGAGCCAATCATTCTTGGAGTCTGGAGTCACAAAAATTGATGGAACTCAGCATCTATGATATATACTATGCCAAAAAAGTTTTCATCCATTTTGCACATTTTAAAAGTGTGCAAAATGGATTCTTTTTATTCAGCAGAAATATAGGCATAATTTCAACTGAACTATAGCATTTAAACATTCAAGAAAAATTGTACAAAAATTTTTTTTAAAGTAATGATAACAAATAAAATTTTGAAACTAAAAATACACTTTTTTGCGTCAAAAAGTTTCCATCCACAAAAATCAATTAAAATTGTTGTAGGAACTAAATTCCTTGGTGTTCTAATAACTTGTGTGTTCACAATTCATGCTATTCAGGTTATGCTAAAATGTTTTAAAAACCACACATCATTGTGACCAAAGTTTAAATTACAAATACATAAAACATGCTTATTATTTACAAATATAATGAACTAAAATAAAAAAAATAAAGCCCAAATTTTTATAAAACTAAATTTATTATTGAAATATCAAATTAATCAAAATAATAAGCTACAGAAGAAAAATGTGTCTATTGTTTAAATACAACATATATAAACAAAATATAAAAAAATTAAAAATAAAATTTATCTAAGCAAAATAATCTAGCAAGAATATGAATATTTACTTAGAAAAAGTTAATATATAAGTTACATTTGTTCAGGCATTGGCAATAAAGCGTTACTTAAAAAAATGTTACTTTTAACTAATTTGGCTTGAGTTTTAAAAATATTGTTGTTTAGTTTCTATAAAAAGAATGATATTATCACTCGAAACAGGTTTATTAAAAGTATGCTTATGGCTAGTTATAAAAAAAAGCTAGCCAATATAAAAACCATTTTTTTATTTAACTATGTAGAGATTAGGTTTAATCTGATTAACTTTCAATTTTAACAATGTTTCATATTGTTGGATTATTTTAAATATTATAAGATATTTGGGAGTAAATTTTAAATATTATAAGATAGTTGGGAGTAAATTTTAAATATTATAAGATAGTTGGTAATTAATTTTATACTTTAATGATTTAAATTTTAGCAAGTTTATTAAATATATATAATAACATTGTTAAATAAGCAAATTTTACTTTTTTGCTGGAATTATTGTTTAAACCTATAATACTTTCATTCCACTTATATATTTTATTTTAATATTCCATGAAAACATTAAAAAATATGTTCAAAACGTACATAAACTGTATAAATAAAATGTTAACAACACATTTTCATAACGCAGGTTAACATCAATCATTTTGTTAAAAAAAAATTAAATTTTACATAAAACTGCTATTACAAAAATTAACTATTGCTTGGTTTTTTTTCTTGCAATATTCAAAGTTCTTAATTTATTACTCGCTAACTTTTTAAAAATAAAAAGTAATTGTTATTTACAAAACAAAAATTAAAAAAATGAAACAAAATCTTTTTTATTTACTTTTTTATAGATAAAATAAAAAAACTACTACAAATTTTTTTTAATTTTCTTTACACTGTAAAATTAAAAAACTGTGTTTTTCATCAATAAAGACTTATCTCAAATAAATGATCATATATGTATATATATATATATATATATATATATATATATATATATATATATATATATATATATATATATATATATATATATATATATATATATATATATATATATATATATATATATATATATATATATATATATATATACATATATAAAGCGAGAGAGAGGCATAAAGTTGTAACATGCAAATAATAACCTTTTGATTGCTTTTTTTTCGAGATGATGTATCTTTGATTGTAATGGGCATGGTTATTACATACACTAACTGAAAGATAACTGCTATATATGGGTGAAAAATTATCTCGTCTAATTCCAATCTACTTTGAACAATAAGCCCTATGCATTCCTCTAAAGTAAAAATAAATAAATTACAAATTGAAAAATTCACTATATGGGTGAAAAATTATCTCATCTAATTCCAATCTATTTTGAACAATAAGCCCTATGCATTCCTTTAAAGTAAAAATAAATAAATTACAAATTGAAAAATTCACTATATGAAATTAAAATACTAAATTTTAAAAATTTTAATCTAAAAAGCTTTACTTAGATTATTAGATTCTGTTCTTTTATTATTTGATGGTGAGTTTTGAGTATATTCATTTTCTAGAAAACAGACATGAGGTTCTTTAATAAATTTCCAACCATTATGAACTCCAACCTATAATAAGAAAACTCTATGAAAATAATAGAACACAATACTATTTTCATTCTTCAAATAAATCAAACTAAATTTACTTTTAGTTTTTTTTCTGCAATGGAGACAGTCCTTTCATCTGGAGATATATCATCTCGAACAAACCGATCAGCATTTAGAAATTTACAGACTTGCTCGTCAAATAAATGCACTGATGGAGTAAGATTTATTAAAATCTAAAAAAAAAAAGACTAATGTCTTAAGTAGCATCTTATAATTTCAAAAAATTATTTTTTACTACCACTATTATCTATAGATGAAATTATAAATAGACTGAATTGTCAAGTAACTAACAAAAAAAATTAAGACAAATGATATGAAAAAATAAAAAGTGTAAAAGAATTTTTAATAGAATAGTGAAACTTTCAAAAAACAAACTGAATCTTTTATCGAAAACTTTAAATTTTTAATAAAATGCGACTTTAAAAAAAATTTATCACATTCAATATAGTATTCAATGCAATATTACAATATGTAATGTACTCATTTTAAAACATTTCAACTAGCTACTCAATGCAATATTCTGATTTGAATTGATTTCAAAAACCTATTTCTTATTTACACACACAAAAAAAAATTTCTATTTACCTTAAGAAGATGACATGGCCATGTTTTAATTGGCTGTGGATTTTGTAAGATATCTACAACTCCTTCCTCTAAAATATTATCACTGTAATAACAGATTTATTATCATCTTTGATATTATCATAACATGCAATAAAAAAATGTAAAACAAAAAATAAAACAAAATAAAGGAAACTGGCACTAAACCATATTAATAATAGTACCAAATTTAAATTGATTTTTTTTTAATGCCAAACTCAGTCAGGGGCTAATCTAGAACCTTTTCGACAGTGTTGAATGTATTGGGGAGACATTTAGGTGCTGCCCAAATTCAGAAACTTAAATTCTTTTTTTTTTTTATAAATTTTTTTTTCTATAAAAAATGCCTATATATGACAATGTTTCTGCTAAATTTCCTTGAGGCAGGTGCCAGGACAGGGGGGAGGCGGAAGGGGTACTGCTACCTAAATTATTATCCTACAATAGTGTCTACCAGTTGGTATTTCTCAAATCTGTTGTTTATAGATTTAAGAGACTTGTCATTTAGTTTTGGTAATAGCTAAAACTATATTATTCAAGTGTAACAAATTATTATATTTTCAAAAAAAGCTTTATACAGATCAATATAAAAAATATGTAATGTTTCTTATACAATACATATATATAATTAAAAAATCAAATCATAGTTTTCATTTCTTTTGATTTATTTACATAAATTTTACCTTAATTAAGATTACCTTCAGATATATCTTCTGATACTCCAGGTATAATGTCATCTCCACTTAGAACAACATTAAAGGGAACTAGGTGACTAACTTCATATAGTTTTTGATGTGTTTGAAGCGTATAATTAAATTCACCAGGCTTTTTTTTAAGTAATGAACACTCTAAATAAAATATAGTGATATAAATTAGTGAATTAAGTACTGTAACTCTATTGAGTTGAGACATAAAATCACTATTGAGTTAAGACATGAAATCACCAGCCCTTGGATATTAGAAAAATATTTGGTCAGCAATAAATTGCCAATCTTAAACTGTGAGAGGTTGGCATCAGGTTGGTAAAAAAATTGACACAAAGGTGTTACCATGAAATATAGAGTATATATATATATATATATATATATATATATATATATATATATATATATATATATATATATATATATATATATATATATATATATATATATATTAACATAGATATATATTTTCAAACTGAATAAATACTTTGTATGAACAAAATAGAAATAAATTTTTACCTTCTATAGGTTCTGGTATTAATAAAAGTGCAAAAGGTGAACCACAAAACAAGTCTAGTCTAAATTAACAATAAAATATTACTTTTGAATTATAAATTATTCTATATATTATAACGCATACAATTATTCTATATATTATAACACATAAATTTTAATATATATATTATAATACATATAATTTTAAAATAAAAATATTTTATATATTGTCATGGTGACTTCAATAAGACGCATGTCACAAAAAATTAGGTTTCAGATAACTTCCTTAGGTTATAAAGGGGTAAATTGATATTTGAATAGATTCAGATTTTCAACAATTCGGATTTTCAACCCACTTATTTTGAATAAATATTAAATAATTATGCTAATTAATGTTTTAGCAATAATAAAAACAAAAAAATAGTGCAAGGAAACATTGTCAATTTTAAATCGAAAATTTATAGAACAATAATATTGTTTGAAGATTATTTAAGTTAATGTAAAATATCTGAAGGAAATATTTTATGATTTGTTTGGTGTGATGTTGATTTACGCAGTGATAATAAAAGGACAGGAAACTAGGAGTCTATTGATCAGATCAGTACTTTTTGCTCTTCTAAATAAATATTGTTTGAATTTTTAAATCAATCATTTAAGTTCAATAAAACAATTCATTTTAATAGAAGACCCGCAAACATCTAATAAAATCATACCCAAGCTTTCTATCTCACTTTTAATGTACTGATCTACTTTGAGCACAGATTCTTTGGATTCCGTTTTGAGTTTTAACTTCTTTAAACCTTATGATTGCTGTTGTTAAATCCAGTTAAATCCAATTTGACTAGACAAGTAATAAAAAACGATTCTTCACATTTTAAATCTTGTTTATATACACTTTGGCCAGTAGCACCATTAAAACCAGCCTTACATGTGAGTTCCATTATTTTCATTGCTTTTTCATTCAGAACAGGCTCCTGAACTGCACAGATTCTTTGAAAAGTATGAATCATTAAATCTTTAAAAGGAGCTGAAGCTGAATAGTCCTCTACTGTTATACTATTATACTTGCAGGATAACATTTCAACATTTACTTGATAACATTTTATCCAAGACTCTCTTAATTTTATATTTATCTCTTAATTTCTTACTAGCAGCAAAAAATAATTCATTCAATGAACGAGATTCAAGTAAGCCAGACAAACACAGTTTTTTAGTTTTATTAAAATTATAATCAAATGTAACTGATTTTCAACCACGCCTACTTGTTGTTATTTCAGTCTTTTTTTCTGAAAATTATTCATTAAGCTAATTGTTAAGTTTTTGTTTAGTTTAGCAGATTTCCACTTTTTTTAAGTAAACAAAACTTTGAGCAACATGTTTAAAACCAATGTATTTATATTCAGCAACTTTTGGCTGAATAAATTTTAATATATCTTCAGTAATATTTTGTTTTAAAATACCAATATTGTTTTTTAGAGGAAATTTTGAATGTATAAGTTTAATAAAACCATATCTAAATAACTCTTATAACAAATATTTTGTATTTGACTCTTATAACAAATATTTTGTATTTTGTTTAATATTATAATATATATGATGCATTGATTACTAAAGCTTGTTAGTAATTAAATTACTATAAGTGTTAGTAATTAAAATTGAAAGTAAGTAAATTACTGTTAGTGTTAGTAATTAAATTACTAACAACTACCAAAAATATGTTGTTGCTATGCTATGCAAAGTAGAGATGTGCCGGAACCAGTTTATGCCGAGTCTCCGATTCCGGGTACCCGGCTGAAAAAACCGGGTCCGAGTCCGGGTTTTCGGCACCGAGTCCATTTTTTAAAAGTTGGAATAAAATCTTGTGAAATCTCTAGCGCTGAACTATTCACACAAAATACGCTTTTTACGCTAACTAACCAAAAGTTATGTGGCGGAAGTACCATTTAGCAAAACCCCGCAATGCAGGGTAAAGGGCCTAACTTTTTTCAAAAGTTGTGCAACAGTTTTTTAATAACTATATTTAGTTTAAAATTATTTTTCTTTCCTGGTGGAGCGGGTCTAAATAATATTTTGTTATAAATATTATCGAAATTAAAATATAAAAAATGTGTATAATATTTAACTTATATCTCTACTTTTATGATTTTTGCTTGATTCGAATGAAAAGTGGTATCAGCGTTCGAAAGCATTATAAGCGTTTCATTCAAAACTAAATTGCTAAAAATTATCTTGTGTTCTAACAGAATAAAAAGAAGCTATTCTAAAACTTTTTCTCCGATTCTTTTTATTCGTATTCTCGAATTATTTCATTTAGCGTTACAGTTTTTGTATCCGTATAAATTTTTTTGTAAAAATATATTAAAAAATATTTTAAGTGAGATTGTTTTAAGTTAATAGAACTTTGTGGTTATCGACTACATAACATTTTTAGACTTATATCAAGAACTTTAATGGTTAAAGTTTAAATTTAAGGAAAAATCAATTTGAAGATACCCGGTGCCGGGTACTGCAACAAAATGGCCGATACCGGGTACCCGGTAAAACAGCCGAACTGCCGGGTCCCCGGGTCCGAACCGGGTACCCGGCACATCACTAATGCAAAGTAAGGCATCCATAGTAACTAAAAAAATTTACCCTTATAAGAAGTGTGAATATTAGTACTTAAAACAAATAATAAACTGTGAGAACAATGTTTAAGTAAAAATAGGTAGTTGCTTTGCCAAATTAAATACCATAGCAATAAAACTGAATAATATAGAAAATCTGAACAGAGACTTAAGGGGACAAGCAATCCATGGAAACTCAATTGAAGCATCATTTAGCTCAAATAAAAATTAGAAAGTATATGGCAAATCATGTCAACTGTTAGCTACATTTCTTAAAGATTTTTTTTAAATTCTGTGGCTTTCGAAGTATAACCGAGATAACATACTATGACAAATTTTCATTACCTCTGACTACTCTAAAATAACATGTACTAATTTTTTATTTTGACAAAGCAGATATAACTGAAATATCACACAATGTTGATATCACCAAAATTACATATTTATAATTATAGTTTTTTTTCTTTTCTTTATAATATAAATATTTAAATACTTAGAGCCCTATTAACTAAGGAATTTAATAGAAATAAATTATCAATAAATTATCAATAAATTTCCTTAAATATGTATAGAAACAAAAAATTAATTCTCAAGATTAGACAACTAAAATTTTTACCATTTTGTCCACCTACTGGCTGTGCCAAGACTGGACAATCCTTTGCAGTACCTAACACTAGGAACTAATTTATATTTTTATCAAACATGGTACAAGTATGTACCATACTTGACAAAAATATAAATTCAAGTATGCTTGTAAACAATTAACTACTATGCAATAACTTAGTTTTAAGAGGTTCTTTACTGACTGTTCAAAAAATTAAAATCTCAGCTGCAAACTATTTTTCTCTGACAATGGATATTTGGACTAACTGCAAATATCAGAATCTTATTACTGGACACTGGATGAACTTGATTTACTCTTAAAACTACTGTTTGTTTTTTTACTTTTTCTATTAGTGAGTATTTACAAAATAGTTTCAAGTCTTAAAATCCATTTAGACTAAATTCATCTTATTGTTGATTTAAATCAAATAAAAAGTAGAGTAAAAAACAGAGGAATCAGTTCCATGCTTCATGTCCAGTTCATCAATCAGTTCCATGCTTCATTTCCAGTTCATCAATCAGTTCCATGCTTCATGTCCAGTTCATCAATCAGTTCCATGCTTCATGTCCAGTTCATCAATCAGTTCCATGCTTCATGTCCAGTTCATCAATCAGTTCCATGCTTCATGTCCAGTTCATCAATCAGTTCCATGCTTCATGTCCAGTTTATCAATCAGTTCCATGCTTCATGTCCAGTTCATCAATCAGTTCCATGCTTCATTTCCAGTTCATCGATCAGTTCCATGCTTCATTTCCAGTTCATCAATCAGTTCCATGCTTCATTTCCAGTTCATCAATCAGTTCCATGCTTTATTTCCAGTTCATCAATCAGTTCCATGCTTAATTATTATTACCTTGCAAATTTGTATTCATGAATCTATATTAAGCCAAAAAGACAATTTTAATTTTATGCAGAGGAATAATAACATACTAATCATTCAGCTTGTGCAAAATTAAAATGAATTTAGCAGCAATTAAATATCAAAATTGACAAAACAGCTTATTTGAAATGCTTCAAACAATGTTGGAACAAAGCATTACTTTGGGAACTTATGCAGAAAAATGGGATGATATGTATCTTCTTACAATTACCTTTGGTAAAAATTACCAATATACATAAACTTGTATATCAAAATGCAGATGACAACGTTATTAAAATATATTATTTTAAAAAAAAACCTTTAGCTACATTTAATTATATCATTCAACTCGATTTCATGAGAAATTGCAACAGAATACTGAAATAATTTATCACAAACTTTCTTTAGTTTATTTTAATTTTTAATCAGAATAAAATAAAATAAAATAAAAATTAAAAATTTAACTCCACCTTACTGCTAAGTAATTAATTCTTTAAATAAAACCAGCTACTACATAGTTAAGCTAAAATTAGCTTAATTATGATAAACTTATATTAAATAATAGATTTATCGTTATTACAAAATTATGGTTTGTGTTTTTGAAAAGGTTAAAAATAGAAAAAAATATAAACTGCTTTATTGTTGCCAGAGTTATATATATATATATATATATATATATATATATATATATATATATATATATATATATATATATATATATATATATATATATATATTATCATATAAAAAAAAAATAAACAAACTATATTACCTGCTAACCTTAGGACAAGCTGTTTCAAATGTATCAGTAAGAAATTTAATGTTTGAAAAAATTCTTAACCATGTCCATGCAACAGTTTCTGAAATTTCATTTGCTAAAATAATAAAGCAAATAAACAAAAATAAACATTGAAACAACCGCAATCATTGAAAGGTGTAATACCGCAATCATTGAAAGTAATGATTGCGGTATTACACCTGTCTTATCTTTAAAGTAATGATTGCGATATTGCACCTGTCTTATCTTTAAAGTAATGATTGCGGTATTACATCTGTCTTATCTTTAAAGTAATGATTGCGATATTGCACCTGTCTTATCTTTAAAGTAATGATTGCGGTATTACACCTGTCTTATCTTTAAAGTAATGATTGCGATATTGCACCTGTCTTATCTTTAAAGTAATGATTGCGGTATTACACCTGTCTTATCTTTAAAGTAATGATTGCGATATTGCACCTGTCGTATCTTTGAAGTAATGATTGCGGTATTACACCTGTCTTATCTTTAAAGTAATGATTGCGGTATTACACCTGTCTTATCTTTAAAGTAATGATTGCGGTATTACACCTGTCTTATCTTTAAAGTAATGATTGCGGTATTACACCTGTCTTATCTTTAAAGTAATGATTGCGATATTGCACCTGTCTTGTCTTTAAAGTAATGATTGCGGTATTACACCTGTCTCATCTTTAAAGTAATGATTGCGATATTGCACCTGTCTTATCTTTAAAGTAATGATTGCGGTATTACACCTGTCTTATCTTTAAAGTAATGATTGCGATATTGCACCTGTCTTATCTTTAAAGTAATGATTGCAATATTGCACCTGTCTTATCTTTAAAGTAATGATTGCGGCATAAAACAATGGTGATTTCTTGTTCCTGGAATTTTTGAACAAGTAGCATGTCTTGTGATACAATTGCATTATTTGAAATCTATTGAAAATGTATTCTTTTGATATTTTGTCTACACCAATCATACATTTTCTCAGGCAAAGTGATAAGATCTGCTAATGATTGTAAACTGGCCCAATCTACAAGTCTTTTGATAGAGCCTTCAATGCAATCACAAGCACTCTTACTATGTGATGTAGCAGAAAAAATGCTATTCTGCAGATACCTGAATTCTTGTTCATGATGCCATAAGTTAGATATGTTTTTATAAATTTTATATTGTAAACCTGCACCATCACTAAAATAAATGCAATAATACAAACACTTTAACATTTTAATTTATTTCTTTAGTTCTTCAGTAAATGAGAAAAATGATGCAATCTTATATTTTAACAATCTTGCTTGACTGTTTTTCCAATGGAAACCTTGTACTGCATCTGAATTAAAAAACTGTAATTTTCAGCAAAATCTAGTAATACTAAAATATGATTATTTCACAATGTTATTTTTAGATGCTCTAAATATGCTACTTAATTTTTGACTATGTAGTAATGGTCTCTTAATTGGTCTACTTATTGACAAGCTTTTTTAACAAAATCATATACTAGAAGTGGATGATTTTATGAAAATATGTATGTGTGTGTGTGTGTGTGTGTGTGTGTGTGTATATATATATATATATATATATATATATATATATATATATATATATATATATATATATATATATATATATATATTAGGGATGTACCGAAGCTTCGGCTTCGGCTTCGGTGTGCCGAAGCTTCGGCAATTTTGCCGAAGCTTCGGTTCGGCCGAAGCCAGGTCAATTTTTTGCCGAATCTTTGGCTTCGGCAAAAAATTTTAATTAATTAAAGTTATAAGCTACTGTGGGACAAGTTATAAAAATAAGCTAATTGCCAGTGTCTAATAAAGTTATAAATTTAGGACTACAGAGTTAAAGTTGGAGTCTATACCATATACTTAGTATTATTTATTCCCAAGTGTCTTGTTATGGAGGGGATAATAATAAATAAGTAAAAATATTTTGAAAAAAATAATAAAATTAAGGAAGGTCCTCAAACACTTTGAAAGCTTCCAAGTGTGACTTTAGATGAACTGAAGCAGCATTTCTATGCAGAATAAAAACCTTATAATTTAAAACAAATTAAAAGTTTTTAAAACCTTAATAACGAATTCATATTAATTATTGTGTGGGATTACCGCAAATAGAACAAAATTTGGTTTCAACATTTGACCGATAAACCTTAGTAATCTCTCTTTAAAGAAGATTAAAGATACGTTGCTACTATTTTAAATTGTGTGTATGTTTAATTTTTTAAAATGTTATTTAACCATATTAATAAAAATTTACAAATTTTCATCGTAAATTTACAGAAATTGGTTAGGTGTCACTTATATAGATACAAAATAGTCAATGGAGTGACACATAAAAAACAAAAAGTTCTCAACAACAAAAAAGGAAGAAAAGCAAATGAAATATAAACGAGGAGAATAAAAAAAAGAAAATAAAAAGCCAACAAAAACTAGATAAATTAAAAGAAAAAAAAAAACAATGATAATAACTATTCTTGCTTTTTTATTAATATTATGAATACTTCTAAATTGAATTTATATATTAAAAATATAAACCAATATTCTGGTTTCTTCTTATGATATTATGAAGACTTTTAAATTTTATTTAAAATAAATTAAAGGTTGAAGCTTTGATTACTTTGAACTCTTATATTTATCATCAAAATTTATTTAAATTAAATAAACAATTTAAATCATATAAATATCAGCCTGCTCAGTCCCTGTTTATTTATAAATATAAAGTAAATAATAATATAATTATTAATAAAAAATTTATAGAGTATTCTATTTATTATTTTATTTAAAGCTCACTCTACAGAGTTGTTAGATTACTTTGGAAGTTTTTATCACAGATAGTTAATATTTGATTTCAGATACTGATGCAGATTTATCCATTATAAAGACAGAAGAAGAATGAATACTAAGATTTCAAAGTATAAAAGATTAAAAAAAGCTATAGAAAATGTTATGTAGTGTTAAGTTGAAAATAATCAAAAAAAAAAAAATACTTAAAAGTGTGTAAAAAAGAAGTTAGAGAAAAATCTATCATTTGTACTTTTTTTTAACAGCAGGAGCACAACAGTTGTAGTGGAATCCAAAATGGTCTTAACTTGGGTTTTTTTTAGTTTAGAAATTGTTCGTTTAAAGAATACAGAGAAGTAAAAAAAAGATATTGAAATAAATAGCAATAAAAAGATAAAGTGTGTTTCTAAGATTTTTTATGTT